GGTTTAGGGTTTCGGGTTTCCGGGGTTCAAACGGGTTTAGGGCGGTCCATTGGCGCTAAGCTTGTCTATCGCCTGTGTCTGTCTGTGTTCTTTCGGGCTTCGGCTCCGTCTCCAACTCGCTGACACTGTGTCGCGTCTCTTTCTGTTTCCGTGTCTCTATTGCTCCGTACTTCTGTGTCTCTCTCCATCTGTCTCTCTCTGTCTCTCTGTCCCTTTGTCTCTGTCACTCTTGCCTCTCAGTCTGTCTCTATTTCTCCATTAACCGCTCAACTTCCTGCTCGCTCGGTGACCCCCGTCGTGCTGCCTCACGCGGCGACGACAGCGGAGTCGTTAGCTCGGTGCCTCACGGGTCGAGATGGAGACAAGCACTCGAAAGCACCTCCTGCCAGCTGCTGCACATTGTCGTCGTCCCAATCCAACTCATCAACATCAGCATCGTACTATGCAACGGCCCCATCTAGATCTCCGTTTTCTTCCTTGAATACTTGCAGACATCACCATCAACATCCCAATGTTGGCCCTGATTGTCATCATCCTCGTCACTATCACTTTCATCACCAAAAACAATCAAAACCATTCAAGAACCAAAGCGTTGACACTTATGCTCATTGACATCAGAAGGAACACATTGCTCCTGACGCCTGTGCTAGCAATCTCGCATCAGCTCCCCACCTTCTCCTTGCTAAGCCCAGAAAAAATCACCCCAAAGTCTCAAGGCGTTCACAACCACACAGCTCTCACCTCCAAACCCCTTCTTGAACACTTGCAATGCCAACAGGAGGAATCGACAAGAAGTTCCTCCAAGAAAACTGAGAAAACACACACACAAACACACACACGCGCAGACACACACACACACACATGCAGCTAGATCTACGGTAGTGTGAAGACGATGACGACGGCGACGAAAAAAGGAAACGAAACCGCACAACTATCATCACAACCACGACCAGGACGACCACAACGATCACGACATGACGAGTCAAAAGAAGGAAGAATTACAGAGCAAGAGAAGTTGACGACCGTTAGGGTTTCAATCTTTTCTACAACCTACGCACCCTAAACGTTTCTTGACAAACTTGTGTGGATACTCAAACCTTAGGCCAAGACTGCTCTTCTTCATCCGGGTCACCTGTTAACGGCAGGTATCCTTGTCTCGCCATCGCGTCGGGAGCTCCGCTGCAACGGACAACTACTGTTCAGGCTCTTGCATAGTGGTTCAGGTCTGGATTTCTGCCTCTAGATATAAGGACCGTGTGTCCTCCGCTGTCATCTCTTTGAACGGCCGGCCTGCGGAAAAAGGCCACGGAGTGTGAAAGGAGCCCCACAGCTCTACCGTTGCGATGGGGATTGGAAACGGAGGGAATCTGACGGTCATGGAAACTGCCACTTAGCGTAGCAGAATCCCTGCAAGAGACCAGCACTGTCGCCAATGAGTGCGGCGGTGGCGGCCGTGATGACTTTGACGATCAGAATGATGATGGCGATGATGATGATGATGATGACGAACACTGCAGCTATTGTATTGAATACCTGCAGCCGCTGGAAGCAGCCGATGCTACTATTTGGAACCGTCTACAGTAGCACGAAACGTTTCAGCCTTGCAAGTTTACTACCAGCTATCCTAACCAAGTCCGAATCCTAAGACCTTGGTACCATCATCCTTCAACCCTCCAGAGGATCCGCAGCCGTAGACCCTGAATGAAACTGCTTAGGGCTTGAGGGCGGCTTCCTGCCAGACCCTTCGAACAGGGCACCAGAGAACCGCTCAACTCTCTGAGTGCCAGATGCTGAGGTCCGAGATGACGCTAGGTGAAACAGCATCCCTTGGGGATGCAGTGGGAACCATCGGCATGCGAAAGGCAGAAGACTCATGGGCCATGGGCATTCGGCTGCTGCTGGTTTTGAAAAACTGTCTGCCAGTCGCTGCACGCGAAAACCTCCAGCTGAAGCCGTACAGCATCGAGTCTCTGGTACGACTGACCTAGAACAGCTACGCTAATTAATCTTGAAACCTGCTCCATTCGCTGTTTGCATTTCGGTGCAGTTCACGAAGGATCCCTTTCTGTCAGTCTTGAACTTGAACTCTTTACCAAACCCTAAACCCAAAGTCCCGAAACCCTAAACGCCCTTAACCTTGCATTTTTGCAGGAAGCATATTACGCCTGCGAGTTCTTGAGTAAGTCATGTCCGAATGTTAAAGCTTCATGAGAAGAAACCCTGGTTAGGCCTTGAGTGTAAGCCGAACCTGTTCAGGGAACCCTAGCCCACAATTCTAAGCTTGCCTTAGACACCGACATCTTACTCCATAAGCCCTATACCATCCGCTACCCGTAAGCTGCGCAGTCGTTACGACGACCTGGACCCGAAAAACGTAAGTCTGTAATGCCGCGCGCTTCCTGCACCTAGATCCCGCACTGCTGAATCAGAGCCCTGGACTTGAAGAAAACACAACAATGAAATAGAAAACATGTCTACATGTAGGTTCTTGCACACGCAAGAAAGTCACTAGAACTCCTACAACGGCCTCAGAGCTCTCACGGAATTTCGGGCTTCGGGCATGCTCAAGGCTCGAAACCCAGAAAACCGAAAACCTTACAGCCCCGAAAGACTAAGCTTGAATGCCCAAATCCCGACCCCCAGGCCTGAATCCTGAGCGGAACAGGGTTCAGGTTTGCCTTAACCCTCGACCCTAAAAACCCCCACGAACCCAAAACCCTTTTTTTGCATCAGGACTTGTGCAATCGCCTGAATATCCGAGCCCAAAACCCTAAAACCCTAAACCCCGAACTCCGAACCCCTAAACCTTATATTCCGAAACCCAAAAACCCCAAACCCTATTCCCTTTCCCTCAGCCGGACGCCGGAGACGGTTCTTGAAGCAACGGCTCCCCATTGCTCCTCGCTCCTGCTTTTTGGGGCTTTAAAGCTTTGGGGTTTTCTTCAAGGGTTTTGGGGGTTTAGGGTTTAGGCTTGTTTAAAAGAACCCTTTTTCCGAAGCCCAGAGGTCTCGAAAGGCAAGTACAGCCAGGACTAGAAGCCACTTGTCGGCCCCCAGGGATAAGAAGGACAACCACCACATCCGCACAGGTTCAGGGTTCAGGTTTCGGCGTTAAGGTTTGGGCGTTAGCGTCTTCGAGGCTTCTTGCTCTTTGGCTCTGGGGAGCAGGGGTTTGTTGTCTGGGTATGTTAGTGGACGTTTGAGGTTGAGAGTTTCGTACTTGACGTCACCCAAAGCCCGCGTGGCAGGCCTGAACCATTCAGGAGAAATACAAAATCCGGTGGCTAGCCTCCTAAACCCTAAATCCCTCCCCAACAACAGCTGCCAAAGGAAGCTCCATGCCGGGCAAAATCGCAGACACTTGGACACTTCGGACAACAGTTCCAGTATGGGAACGTCAACCCCAAAAAACACACATGTCTAAGCAACCCCAACTCCAACTTGACACAGCAAACCCCCAGCCAGCCGGAGACAATTCCACTTTACCCCAACAATCCCAAATCCGAGATCCAACCCCGAAAGGCAGCCGCAGGCCGTAAACAGTCCTGATGTGCTGGCTCGGCTTCGGTTCATCAGCCGATGGCTCGGCATGGTGGTGATGGTGGTGGTGGTGATGGGTATGACCCGACCTGAAACTGGTGTCTCCAGGGGCTTGGGATCCACGATCCCTGATCCCGCCAGCGAAAGGCCCCATCAACTCCAAAATGTGTTGGGGCCAGGGGGCGGCCGGTGCCCTTGTCAGGATTGACAAAGAAACGCACCAGAATCCCCGACTTCAACTCCCAAATCAAGTGTGCAGTTCGAGCCGCTCGTCCACTAGACCGGCGTTCTTCAGTCGGGTGAGTGCCGCCTCGGATCGGAGATGTTGAAATCATGGTCCCTTGACGGGCCTTGAAAGAGCTTCCGACAGAAGTTCTTTCAAGAGGAGCTCCTGTACAACCTAGAACCCTCACCCTAAACAACCCCGGACTGTGGCGGCCAACATACCGTAAACTTCCAAGTTACTAGTAATACGATTCCGCTCTTGTTCATGAACTAAAGTATAACATGCCCGCTTAGCTCTTCAGACGCCAATGCTATATTGATCCTAGGATATTGGATCTTCTGGCTCCCGCTTTAGCCATCTTAAAGCCATCGATCTCCCTGTCGAGTCATCTTTGAAGTCCCAAAGCTTGGGAAGGAACACGGGTTGTGTTCATACGCCACCTTCAAGGCTGATGTCGAGAGTGTCGGGGCCTGCGTGATTCGAAGATGGTTTTGCGGTGTGTGCGTGTGTGTTAGACTCTAGTCATGTTAAGGAACATCAAGGAACCGAATGAAATAGTATAGGCCAGTGTGCACTCTACTATATTCATTCTTTCTCTCTTTGGCACATTCCCCTCCACAGGTTCTTCCTCATGTTATACACTCTCGAAGCCCCAACCTTGTCAGAGCGGAAGCAGAAACAGGCTGTTGCGGAATATGCGCATATCGCTGCGGCATAGCCGAAGGAATTGTGGCTCCCTGAATCCAAAGCTCGAAAGCCGTTGTTGCTGTTCCTTCCGTCTCCCGTTCTCTACTTCTCGCTTTCGCCCTCCCTCCCGACAGCTTGATCCCCTGCCCACACCTGACAACTCCTTGCATGTCAGCTGCTCGCGCCACTTTCTGGGCAAACTGCTGCTGCTTCTCGGGGATCTCCCCTGCTTCGCTTAAGGACAAGGTCTTGGCTGCTGGATCTAGGCTTCGCTTTCGAACGGCGAGCTTTTGGACTGAAGGAGTTCGAATAACCCGAACACTGAACGAAAATCAGTTCAAGAGCCTGGCCCCTTTCAACCCGGAAGCTGCTGACTCTGAGACTTCAGCCCCACTTCAACACAAAAGAATACCTCGACGACCGGCCTGGATCATCGAGGCCTGAAGCCCCATGCAAATGTTTGACAGGGTGGAGGAGAGGGCGGAGGAGGCTCCTCCAAAGTTCTGCCCAAAAACCATGGTGCCGCTTTGAGCACATCTCAGAGCCA